GGCCAGCGACGTGTGAAGCCATTATGTGGGAGCAGTGGGAAGGGGAGCGTGTGTTTGTGGGCATGTGTGTGTTGGGTGTATGACTAGGGGTTGTGGAATGTGTTTGTTTATGGGTGGGGTAAATAATAACCCTGCTTGCTCAAAGTGCTTTCTGGAAGCAGGATCAAGTCATTCACATGGAAACATTGTTTAATGCATTCAAACAGCTGGGAGGTGTTGTCTGTTGTCCCAGTGTCAAATGAAAGAGGACGAACAAACAGCTGGCAGGGCATTTTCTTGGTCCACAGCTCTGCTTACAACTATACTTTAATTAACAACGTCTGATGCACAAGCATGCAGCAATTTGCAATGAATCACATACTACATAAGTTCCAAACTACTGTCATGCAACTAAATCCAAGACTCCGCTATATGCTCTCTCTCTATCATGAGGGGAAAACCAATCTATGTCCTCTACTTCCACCCAGTGGCCAAACTCAGGATGTCATACTCATGCTATTCTTGGTAGCATCATGTCATCTGTGCTTGTACTCACACAGGCACACATTCCAGAAAAAAATAGCCATGTTAAACAGTAGCGATTTACAAAAAAGCAATAATAAGCACCTTTAGACACTAGGTCTCAACAATTTCTTTCACCCATTTTCAATAAAGATTTTTAACAACCTTCTGGAAACAAATGTATCTTCAAAATAAGTCATCCTCTCAATAGGATGGTAGAAATACATTTGTGTTTGTTTTTGTATATGTTGTGCTGTCCACTAAATATAAAGATAACAACTGATTATTTTTGAAGTCAGCTTTTCAATAGGCTAGTAATGTCATGACGATAGCCTACGGGTGAGAGCCTGAGTACTTCTGTTAGCTGCTTGACAATCAGGTTTTTTTTTTGTGGCATGGGCACTGCCAAAACTCAGCATTTTTGCACTGATTGAAACGTTGGCTGCAGAAATTAGTTTTACAAGCCAGATAAGCAGCATGGCAAAGTTATAGCAGCCATTTTCATTCAAATGGACGGTTAACAAAACCTGTGCAGGGGTCAGAGTACATACCAAAAGTACTTATGTGGAGCAGGTAGAAATTAGAGGGCCAACAGCAAGATGTGGGAATATGTGGTGATTTGGTAAAGGGATAATGGAAGGCAAAATATAGAAGCAGTGGCCAATTATTTTGTCAATTTTGTGTACATGTATGACATTTTTTATTACATCCTGATGCCAGATAGTCATGAGAATTCAGATGACTAGCATTTCACCTTTTTTTTGACAAATAAAAAGTTGTGGGTCTTTTTAGAATTAGTTTAGTTTTTTCTTTTTAGGTGGACGATTTCATTTAAGTGGCATTTTATTACAAAACAAACGTTTACTTTGCATGGTACTTAACTGAACTGTATCACTGAAAACTGAGCAAATTACAGTTGTGGAAATTTAACTCACACTGAATAAATTGATGCAGTGATGCTAAATTAATTACTTTTCAAAGAAACAAATATGTGTTGCTTACTTAGGTAATTTGAGGTCTGAAAATAAACCACTGCAACAAAAAACTGGTAATGAACATGTTTAGCTAGCTAAAATGCATGACTTAGTCTACAGAGTTTTTTTTCAGTTTGCATCTTGACAGCAACAACTTCTTTGTTACTTCAACCGCTAAATGTGTATATGCGTACAACAAAATTAATGTCAACATAATTAAGTTACCTGGACGGTTACCCTCAAGTTTGTAGGAAAAAACGCTGAAATTTCAAACACGTGTACCTAAGTTGTATCATGTACCTTTTTCGACAGGCATTTACAAAGGACAACCATGCACCGCCGGAAAGACCCCATAGGGCCAAGATGGCTGCGCCCGTGACAGACGCCGGGGAGTTTGAAAGCTGGCTAAATGATCGTCTTGACTCGTTGGAAGTGGACAGAGAGGTGTATGGGACCTACATTTTAGGGGTCCTGGAGGAGGAGGAGAGTGACGAGGAGAGAGAAGATGCGCTACAAGGAATTCTATCCGCATTTGTGGTAAATATACAGGGCGGCGGCACGTCCCGCTCTGCCAGCGAGGCTTTCTCATGTGTTGCTGTCCGTCTCGTCTGCCGCTCGCTGCCAAGTGACAACGCTGATGTCAGCCAGCTTTTATGGAGCTAAATATCGACGGTGTTGGTCGAAACCATATACAGTCTCTGATCAAAACACCACCGGCAGTTATTGAGCTATTCTCTCCTGCCATGTAATCATATGACCGATCGACCAAATTCAGCAAAGTAAAAGTGCTGTTTGGCGGTGATACATGTTTGAAACTGTTTAGATGTCTTCATATTGCAGTAAAGATATCATCCTCTAACAGTAGGGGTCGTTTGCTGTTAAGATTGTTAAGCCCCCTGTGGCAAAGTATCCGACCTTATATATGTGACCGTGTGTGGTTAGCATTGGCAGGCTTTCATTTGATCCTTATGTTTTTATTATGAAGGAATACAGAACTTAACACTGTTTATGTGCTGTTTTCATATGCTCAGTGTGCCATTTGGCAGTCAAACTGCCTCTGTATCAGCCTCTGGTAGACCAACCTGATGTGTTGCTAATTTTTGTAAGAAATAACTCCCTGGAAAGATGAACCACCTTGTTATTAAAGCATAAATACGAATGGATAATTCATGCATAGATAAGTGTCATTTTTAATGTGACATAATGGGATCACAGAACCACTGCTTGCATCTCTGAAGTAGCCTACATGACTGCCTCATGTAGTACTAACAGGTTGTCATAATAACCCGGTTCGATAGCCCGCATTTTATACACTACAATGAACTGTTAGTGCATAACATTTACATGTTTTTTATGTGCAGGAGGAGGACAATGTAGAAGATGTCTGCAAACAGATTATTAAGCAGTGGACCGATTGGCGCGACAGATCAGCTTCCAAAAGGGATTCTGATGATGGTATGTATGTCATTTAAATTCATCCACATTCCCTCACATCACATTGAAAAGTAATATTTTAAATGTGTACCTTGTCAGTATGAATAAAAGTTCAGGGAACGAGTCATCAAAGTTTGCAGTGCACCAATTTGGCAATTATTGCTGGACATAATCATAAGTCAATGAAAACAAGAGCAATATAACACAATCTTATGACTATACGGTCAAAACTTGCAAAGTGTTGCAAAGAATTTATATAACAATTTAGTCTAGTAAAAAAAAGGAGGCTTGTCAACTTTTTTACATCTTGACTCAACAGAGCAAAGACAGCTTGCTACCGAGTCTGTTGTCAATACCAGTTAAACATACAGAGAGGGGGATTAGCTGTTTGAGTTTTATATCATTTTCTTTGAGTTTGGAGCAGAGTGCTCAAATGTATTTCTGTCTTCCAGAGAGATAAACATTGTCTGGAAAAATTAACTTAAAAACAGCTCCTGTTTTTGATGTCGAAAAGTACTCTTTTTTTCCGTCACTGTGTAACTTGAAAGAGACTGTTTACTGTGTACATATCCATAAGGATGGGTAAACTGTCTGGAGACTTGAACTCAGATGGGGGCATAAGAGCCTCCTTCTGTTCACGCACCTTCATGTAGACAGTGAAAAGCAAGGGCTTTAATTGAAGTAAAAGTATTCCATGTTATTTGGGTTCATTTACACTTTGTCTGTGTTCTTACTTTTCTTTCCTGAAGCTGAAGTCCAGGCCATCGCCAGGATGATAGAAAAACAAGCCCAGATTGTGGTGAAACACAAAGAGGTTTCCGGGGAGTCGAAGCAAAGGAAGGACGCCCTCCTGGCTCAATACGCTAATGTTACGGACGACGAGGAATATCCTTTATTTTCTTTCTATCTCTATGGGCAATATCTCCAATACTTGCACCAAAACTGTTAAGATTGAGTAAAAATACTACAGGTAAGAGGAAATATGTTTTTTTAATTTATTTTTTGGGGGTAAAGGGGTACCTTCATTTGTCAGTTCTTTCCTTAACATAAGCACTGAAGCTGAAGAAGAGGAGCAAACCGGTGCAAATAACTTTATCGGGAATGAGAAATGTATCCTTTCTAAAGCTGTTAACGATCAGAGGCTGTTTAAAAATCAGTGTCACTAATTGAAAAATGAATGGATAACCCTGACTACACACACACACACACTGGTGATGGTAATATGCAGTAAAGATCTCATAGCACAGTACATTTGCTTTCACCCTGCTGTCCTTTACTGAAAGTGTCAGCCCTGTTCAAGAACACCAACGTGGCAGAGGTGCTGAACAGACAGAAGGAGAAGCGGGACCAGGCTCGTGAAGATTCTCAGAAGAAGAAGGAAGGGGACAAGATGCAGCGGGAGAAGGACAAACTTACCAAACAGGACAGAAAAGAGAAGGAGAAGAAGCGTACACAGAAAGGTGAACGCAAAAGATAAAACAAAGAGAAAGGACACTTTGTATGTGGAAAGGTTTTCAGAAGACAGAAATCAAAAACAGTCATTGCCTCTTTAGCTGAACCCCATTGGCACATTCTATTATGTGTTCATCAGTCCCCTTACGTTAAGTTCTTTCTCTTTATATGTGTAAATGTGTATTCGTCCAAAAATCCCTGCTATTCTTGGATACTGATATGACCAGTTCCTGAAACATGTATTGGAAACAAGCTGCCAACCGTTATGCGCTGAGTGTGACTGTGTCCTGTCGCTGATCAAACTTAAACCTCTGCTAATATGTTGTTATAGCAGCGTATGAAACACGCTTTGGCTGAGCTACAGCAAGTATACACAAATTGGATTGGTCACGGTAAGATCACAGGAGGAATGCCTGCAATGCAACCCAATCCAGTTTGTACTAATAGCCTCTGTGCCAATATGCCTTTCACTTCTGCAGAACTTCTAACAAAGTGTTTATTTTTATGCATTTTTGTCCAAAATGAAAACAGAAGATTGGTTACTGAGTTATACCACAAACATATCATGTACCATAATTTCAATGTTTATAATGAGGTTCATCAGCTTTTGAAATTAATAAAAAAGAAAAACATTTTCAGCCATTTGAATTGCTTTATTGTTAAAGAGTTGGTTAACAGAACAAGTAACGGTTAAAATCCCAACACGAACATTAAAATGACAATAGAACAACTCGTATTCATACAGCCTCCACAGGGAGGATTTATGCTGCTAGAGAATTGTCACTTTTATAAAAGATACAAGCTTTGGTTCCTTGCTGACAAACTGTCAAACTGATGAGAATATTTAATAATACTATCTGAAAAGAATGAATCTGGAAAGTGTGATTAGTACATATACATTTAACATGCTGCAAATGTCAGTATCTTGTTAAAAGTTTAAAACACATTCTGATGTGTTAAGATAACGCAAGAAAAATAAATGTCAAGAGATTAATTGGAGCATTCAGAAAACATTTTATAATTTAGCATGTTTATATTTAACTAATTATATGAATTGCGTCAAAGAAAAGAGAATTCAGAGAATTATTAACGTAACATTATATTGGGAATATTGTTTTGTTTCTTATGGAAAGTGTGATTATACATTTTAATTTCAAACACTGAACCTTGCTTTCTGAAGTTTGAGCTTCTTTGGCATAGTTTGCAGATAAATACATTTGTTCTGATTATACTGTATTAAGGCATGTTGACTACTGCCCTTATGATTCAATTATTGCTTGGAATTAACCAGAACTTAGGTTATTATACATTTAAATAAATTAGTAATAAAAATGAAGAATTCATAAATAGTGTCTTTCAATACAACGGTGATGGAGCAAGATTCATGTAAATCTTGAACTGACACTAACAGCGCCGCCATCATTGAGCTTCAAACTGCTCAGCTCATATTTTGCAGTGATCACTCTGTTGCAGGTAACATGTCACTATAAACTTCCAGGTAACACCCAGTTGCCTTTGGGAATATTATAATCGGGGCAATTGGAGTGGTTATAATGTAATCGTGACTTTTAACTTGTGCTTGATGCCTGCTAAATTATAACTTAAAGGAGTATCCCTTAAAGGGAGAGGGGCCCCTCTCTCTGTGCGTCTCCTGCTTGTTGACTTCGGGCTCCGGACTCTTGACAGCCTTTGGCAGTGTCAGCTGGAGAGCACACCACAGGGCGGTGCGGATCTTCCTCGTGGCAGCAGCCAGGTCTTCCAGTGCATTGACCATCAACAGGGTGTCTATGAAAAAAGCAGCAAGTAAGTACCAGCAGCATTTGAGAGAGAGGAACATACGCTAACTGATGCAATATGACTTACCTGTTTCCTCTGTGAAATGGGCTCTCTGCCGCTGGTGTTTGCTGGCTGGCTCCTCCTTGTGCCTCGCCTGGGTGTTGCAAATGGCCATATGATGCCTGCTCAGGGCGGTGTGGATGTCCATGTGGAGGGCAGTGTTGCCCAGAAACTCCATCCTATCCAGAAGGCTTGCCACCTACAACAAACCAACATAATCAACACTTCCCTGTCACTCTTAGAAATACCCTTCTTCATGTGATATCCTCTCACACAATAAGCCATCACATGAACATTACCTAATTAAACAAAAATACATTACAAAAGTTGTATTGTGTGTAAGTATGGCATTTATTCAGGGCTAAAAATAACAATTATTTAAAACAAATCTCCAGGAGATTGCATATATTTCTCATGAGTGTGCAAAATAAAGCTGTTTATATCACCTTACAAACATAACAGGGCTGCTGGGACTAAATTCACCTGGAGATGGCAGTATGGAAGCAATTAATTTAAGAGGTCTCACCCTTGCTTGTTCTCTCATCTGATTAACAATGAGGTGGTCGATTCTTGTGGGATTTGGTGGAGTTTTGGGGAGGTTAGGGCTGACAACTGCCGCCGTCCTTTTACCAAGAAATGCCTTGGTAAGAATTACCTCTGTCTAAGATCAAATTAACAAAAAACACGTTAGAACATGACAACCGTGTGCAACAGCAATACTGAAGCTGTGACAATATGCAGCTTTTTTTAAATATAGATTACGAAACGTTTGTATTAATGACACAAAATCAGATTTCAAAAGCATACCCTCTTTCTGTCCCGCTCCAAAGACCTCCACTGCTCATGGCACTCGTCCACGTAGACGTAAAGCTGGATCACAGGTCCCTGATTCATCACCATTGACGGTGTCAGGGCTGAGGCCATGCCATGATAGGTGTTCTCTCCCCTGCAGGTCATCATTTCACTGATATAGGGGTTGAAAACTGCTGACTCGCTGGCTGACATCCTATCACCCACATTCCTGGCTGTCACACCGCTGCCATAGGGCAGTGTGGATTTGGGGCTGAAGTGAGAGGCGTTCATGGGAACGCTGGAATATCTTCTGGGGTCATGCACAGGATACATGGGAGGCCTGAGCTGCTGTGTGTTCCCACCACTCACCATGCTATTTTCTCCATTAGTTCTCCGAGACTGCATGCTCCCCAGGTGTTCAAGGCTTAGATTATGTGAGAGGACCTGCTTCCTATCCCCCCCTCTCATGTTAGTGTTAGTGGAGAAGCCTTTACCTAGAAAGCGAGGCATATCCATCCTATTCTCTTCTCTCTGCATCTGTTGCTTGTTCTGTATCGGGCCCTGCTGGAAAGGATGCTTTGAATACTGGTTCATGCTCATGTTAAAGGGGAGTGACGTGTTCTCTCTGTGAAGGGTCATGTTGCTTTGGTTTTGGAGGTAGTACTCTGCGTTTTGTGGGCTGAAACGAGGTGGATCTTGAAAGGCATCACGCTCAAATGTTTGTTTCCTCACTTCTCCATTTATTTCAATCTGCTGTGTCCCAAATGCTCCCACCAGCTGCTTCTGACTCTGCATTGCAGGATGACTTTGTGTTGACATTTCAGGACCAGAGATGTTCCATTGTTCAGCCACACTGTCTTCATGCTGCATGCCCACTGACTGCCTGTGAATGTTTGTGAAGTCTCCACGAAATAAGCTATCAGGCTCACCAGCCGTCAAGGACCGGAAACTGCTGACCAGTTGGTTAATGTCTTGTGTCCCAAACTGCTCATTACTGATGGGTTTTGTGCTGCTCTGGGTGAACTGCTTTTCGTAATAAGGAGTAAAGTATGAGCTGTTCATTTCACTTTGAAGTCTAAAGACATTACTGAGGTCAGATAAATTGTTGCTAGGCTGGCTATTCCCTCTGTTTTTCTCAGCTGGCATGTCGTCATATCCGCTCTGTTGTACCTGTGACAGGTAGGAGTTTCCTGTGTTGGGGATTGATAGACCTGGTGGCAGTTTCTGAGGACGTGGGACAGTGCTGTTTCGGTCTCCATTAGGCAAATTAAAAAGCCATTGTTGATTGGTGGAATGGCCATTGGACTGTTGATAAATCTCCTCAACATCTTTGCCCACTGATTGTCCCTGTGCTTTATCCAAAGCCTCACGGGATACATAGTTTGAATAAAAGGTAGACTGTTGTTGCGCTTTACCCTCCGATTGAACATACTGAAGCAGTTCTTCACTCAAAGTCTTTGGAGACCAGACAGGATTACATGTAGAAAGACTCCTAAAGAAAGAATCAAGGACATATTTTAATATATAACAAACTATGAAAACATATTTATCTAACTATATTCATTAAAACAGACTTTTTTTTAATCAATTTTGTTTAGTTTTGTGTAGATATTGTTATGATATGTATATGTTCTAGTGTTGCACGGTGTACCGATACTTGAAAGGTACCGCGATACCCTGCCGTTAAAAACGTTACGATTCCTCAGTTTCATTAGTATCGGTACTTTAAGAATGACGGGGGAAAGTACTCCGGTGAGAATGCGCCGTTTTAATAAGAGCCGTGTGTGTTCAGCGCTCTGCTTCCAATCCCTGCACTGCATCCGTGCCTGCAGTCCCGCCCCTCTCAAGCACGCTCAAGTGCCTCCCCTCTCTCCTGCACGCGCTAGCTGCCAGAGCATATGAGAAAACGAGAAGCATGGCTGCAAGTGGGAGTGCAACTGCCGCTGCGCCTCGGCTTGTTGACAAAAAAGCGCCAGAAGCGAAATTTGGAAGTATTTTAGCTATATCTCTGACAGTGAGGGCAAGCCTACGGACACCACGAGGCCTGTCTGTAAGAAATGTATTAATTTTATTTAATACGAATTCTTGTCATTTATTTTATTTATTGTTCTCATTGTTTAAAGGTTTGTGTTATGGTTATGGTTCCGGTGTGAAATAAAGCACAATAATTACATTTAAGACTGTTTCCCTTTTTTTAAGAAAAGTATCGAAAAATAATCGGAATCGTAATTCTTGACTTGTTATCGGTATCGAAACCAAAATGTTGGTATCGTGACAACACTACTCCTGACAGTTAAACCTGATATTTAGTAGGTCTGTTAAGTATTGAATGCTGACCATTCTGACGTAATTTGGCCGGTCAAAGTTGTTTGGGCTCGGATAAAATCGCTCGTTACTTTCGTCCCGTGTTACTTTCGTCCCGGCTCTCCCTACGTATGTATGTGTGGTGTCAGGTGTCAGTATGAGAGGATGAAAGCGCGTCTAATTTTGATGTGGCCCAAGAGCCAATCACAATAATACCTGAATGCAGAGAACCAATCACCTTTGAGGGGGGGAAACCTATCGTTGTTTCCCCTACCATTTTCTTG